AACCGTTAAATGAGACGTGCGCAGGCGCGACAGTCGTATACACAAGCGAGTAGTGTATAATACCTTTCTCTTTCTCCTTCTTTCTTTTCGTTCTCTCATCCCTTCTCTCTCTATTACCACTCCACCCCGCCAATGCATAGTATATTACTCATGAATTCATGGACAAGCACGTGGCGAATACTCACATTATAGATACATTTTACTCGTGAGTAGCCACGTTTATTTTTAGCAAATTGTGTCGATTCTACATTAGCCGAAGGAACTTCGTTCCTACCCGGTGTCCCACGACACCGCATCTTTTTTTTCCTTTTTCGTTATCAGAATTGCTCGTTTAAATTAAGAAACAATTACGACTTGACTGCGGACTTGGGGCCAAGATAATCTACTTTATACTCCCCGAGTTTTGTTTATTGACTCGATCAAATCAGATTGAGAAGGAAATCAAATATGGAATCGTTTCACGTTTGGATTAATTGAAGCGCTGCTCGATAAACGCTCTCTCTTAGTAAATAGCTGTGTTTTTGAAAGACATCAAGGGTTTTATCAACGTCTAGCCTGACAATCGATAGAAAGATTCCTGGTGGAGACCACGTACAGGCAAGCGGGGTCTGGGACAGCCACTTTAAGTAGATGGATCGTCGACTTAGTAATAATCGCTGGGTCACATTGGATTAAGGTGGCAACAGACCGAACGCATTGGGGATCGATTGGAGTGGCCTATGTTCAACACTGGACAGCTATAGGCTGAGATGATAATGATGCTGATGATGACATTCGAATACTTTAAAATGTTGGGACCACAATAATACAACATAGTACTAAAAACGGAAGAGACTTCATATATTTATTTATTTGCTTTTCATCTCATAGGTAGGTGAAGGAAATCACGTCATATCCCCTGATGACTTGGTCATATGGTGGTTACCAGAATATTATCAAAGCTTGTGTACCGTCATCTAGCTTAATTCATGAGGCCACAGTTGTATAACACTTACCCCGCCTGTTAAACCAGAACGCGTGACTGATTTGCGGTATAAATAGCCATGGCTTAGAAATTTAATCCCAGCAAATTCTGATTAGCGATTGCGTACACTAGTATAACATTCAGAGAACGCTGATACCCATCCTCCTGTGACTCCCTTACTCGCCTTTTACGACACCCACTCATGGAGTTGTGCCATTGTAGTCACACACAATTTAATTTTCGTCGAATGTTTTAAATTTTATGTCAATCATAATCGACCGTGACTAGTTTGTAATGTATTTTGGGATCGAGGAGTAATTTTATATCGAGCATTCCGCTATTTAGTTACTCCCAGAACTAGCAAGTTATAAATTATGAACCCAAATTGCAGTTTGTTTAAAATAAAAATGCTGCTGGTTTTTTTATTCTAAAGTTACAACACATCGATAACGATATAAAATTACGTCGTACGTAACGTAATGTATAGGCGCAGTTATTTTTAATTCAGTGACCACAAATCTGAAATATATTTTCGCTTGTGTGTTAGCTACTTTGGTTTTATGTATGATGTATCAAATTCCTAAAGACTAATAAATAAAAAAGCATTTGATTATCATCAACACCTGAGGCTCAGGTGACGCCTCAGCCTTAGAGCCATGATTTTTTTTTTAACACAGGCTGTCGGAAACATAGAGCGACACCTCGCAAACAACTATCGGACGCGTTTGATTCTCAGTACAATTTCCAATTTTACTTCAATCATCTACCCTACCGCTGCCTGAAGTTCATTGTAAGATTTCAAACGCTTTTGAATGAACAGCATATGTTTTTACAGTTCAGTGTTGAGAACAGAGTCGCTCAAAAAGTAATTTACCGCGCGTTAGGGCTCTATTTGAGGGAGTACTGATTTTCTAGCTTCTTCACTTTAAAATACAATAGCATTTTCCTCGATTTGCTTTCGGTTTTGTTCTTCGAAAGATAAGTATTCAAATAGATTCTACAAGCGACACATTTTGTTGTCGACAATACAATATTCATGACAATATTCATAAAGACTTGTCACTACCGAAGCTGTTTCTTGAGACAGTAGCATAGTAATCGATTAAATGTATCTTTTAAGTGAAAAAGCAGTAGATATACATGGTGTTTACTACTAAAATGAAGACTAACAACATCGTAGACAGTTTTTACGATCGACAATAAAATGTGCATTTACGCTAACTTTATTCAAGTAGAAATTCTTACACATGAGATGTTAGCGATTACATGTTGCGCATGTTTGCAATAAACATAAAATGCAGCGCTGGAACTTCAGTCCTTTACTTAATTTGTGGTGATGAAGCAACTTTTAAATTAGGTACATAAAGATTACGTCTGAAGCAAAACTAATCGTGAACCGGTAATTGCAATGAATTTTCTACAAACAAGGACCGTGCCGGAACGCGCTGACTTCAACTTCTACCTTATAATATCGTCTAATTAAAAATGCAAAGGGAAGTTTCTTCCTTGTTTGAGTGGGGTCGCTTTACTGACAACGTTGAAATTCGCGTTTCCGTCTGTCCCAAGTTAAACTTGGAGCAGCTAGCAGACTAGCTACTATCATTTTGTTTTTCTACTGAATCCTTCTGTCTGAAGTCTCTGAATCTGAGTTATATTGAATGGATGGGTATTTGAAGCAGCTAGCAGACTAGCTACTATCATTTTGTTTTTCTACTGAATCCTTCTGTCTGAAGTCTCTGAATCTGAGTTATATTGAATGGATGGGTATTTGAAGCAGCTAGCAGACTAGCTACTATCATTTTGTTTTTCTACTGAATCCTTCTGTCTGAAGTCTCTGAATCTGAGTTATATTGAATGGATGGGTATTTGAAGCAGCTAGCAGACTAGCTACTATCATTTTGTTTTTCTACTGAATCCTTCTGTCTGAAGTCTCTGAATCTGAGTTATATTGAATGGATGGGTATTTGAAGCAGCTAGCAGACTAGCTACTATCATTTTGTTTTTCTACTGAATCCTTCTGTCTGAAGTCTACTGAATCTGAGTTATATTGAATGGATGGGTAATAAGCTTCAAGGTTAAGCATATAGATGTCGCAAATCTTGTGCCAAAAAGCATTATCATAATTAAATCAAATTTGTAATACCGATATCATTTGTGCGTAGCTATAATAATATTATGGTATTTTAATTGTGCCTTTATGTATTATATAATTGCATTATTTCAAAATTTACATAAATATATCAAATGCTTTATCAAATAGTAAATACACAGAGAGTTTAAAAAGGCAAACTGCTGTTGAATCGATACATATCGTTTCAATTTTATTAAGCGTTTCTTAATTGAGTTTGTGTTCATCAAACTCTTTCGATTGACTAAATTTCAATTCTTAAAAGGCTGTTTTGTTTCGCACTTGTTCTCATATCAAGAAACTGTTAACACTAAACTGCGAACAAATTGTGTTCTCTTCTTCAGAGAAGCCGATGACTAAATTCGATTAAGATTCGATTAAGTTTATCGAGGCTACGCTGTTTGAACTAAATCGTTTTCGAGCGCGTGTCGTTAAACTTTCATTCATAGCGCCACCACTATTAACCGCAGTGGGTTAGCGTTAGGTAAACTTCCGTTATTGGTTCTGGCATGTGTCTCGTAGTTTTATTTTTAAATACACAAAAAGATTATTACATCTTAAAATAAGTAAAATTTTATTAAAAATTGAATTGAATTATAAATAACAAAAGTACCTAGTCGCAAAGACGGTTCGATATAATAAGAACAACAATGAGATTGTACTATAAAAACCTCGCTGCTAATTAGGAGCATCCTCTTCAACTCAGTTAAAATTTTTGTTTCACTGACGCTTGTGAACTTTTCTTTTTCGAAATCAAATACGGGTTTCTATAAAGGGTGTGGCGCACACACATTGCCTAAAGCTATACCACTTTATTGCTGGGTGACGTACCGTAAGCCCTTTATGGCGTCAACAAGATCCCGACTTTTCACCCGAGCAATTTCTTCATTTCGAGTAATACTTTCTTTTCGTTGTCGCGTTTTGTAAGTGAAAGTTTAAAAAAAGCCTCCAGAATTCCATAACCGAATGCATTGAGTCGATGAAAGAAATGTGGATTTTTCGTACAACTACATAGTTTGGATAGTTATAAAAGTGCAATTTGAAAATTATCTGTTGTAAACTTCAAATTCTTTTATTTTCGGTCTGTTTATTTCTGTTATTTACTCATTCTCATTGGATCGAAATGTCTGATTCGACTTTTATTTTTTGTATTGCTTATTTGGGTGGACGAGCTCACAGCCCACCTGGTGTTAAGTGGTTACTGGAGCCCATAGAAATCCACAACGTAAATGCGTATACCCACCTTGAAAACTAGACCTTACTGGAGACTAGATATATCAACAGGCTATTATATCATTTTGGTGCGTTGTTTCTACAATCACTTTATTTCATACACTTTTATACATAGGCGTGTTTAATGAGGTGTTGAGCGAGACAGTAGTACTCTGAGAATTATTCGGTCCATGTTAATACAGAGCAGTCCTTGAACATGAGTTTGCCAGTAGATACCTGGTGTGAGGCAAGGGGACAGGTGAGACGCCTGCGATACCCGATCTCGTGTACACGCTACAAGACAGTCCAATTTCCCTCGGTCTATTGTTAAACGCCGCGGGGAGATTTGTTATTCTCTTTACGTTGCACCGATAACACAAGGCTCAGACGGGCAAGTTCAAGGGCGCCGAAACGTTTTCGCTTCGCTTCCGATTATAACCTCCCTAAGGGCAGAAGGGAGCGACGATTTCCCTTTGACGTTTCACGTTTACTGCATTAAATTCCCCGTTAATGTTTAATTATGTACTTCTGTTAGAACTGGATATACCGAGTTACAGTTACTGGATGTTCTGATCATTTTACCTTTAGTTTGGTACAGGACAAATTCGAAGCTCGTACTTGCATTTGTAAGCATTGCGTATTTTAATAAAACGTTACATGTGTCTGTATAATTAATGTAACTGGTATTTCGAACAGAACGAAGAAGAGTACAGCGGTCGGTGGGCGGCGGTTCAGCAGCTGAGCTTACTGTTCTTCAACACCAACTTCGGTATCAACTTCATGTTGTATTGCTTGAGCGGGCAAAACTTTCGTCGTGCGGTGCAGCAAACACTACCGTGCCTGAGGAAGCGTGCGGACCATCGGGCGGCGCGGCGAGCCACGCAGACCAGACCGGGCAGTGGATCAAGTAAGTAGCTCCCGATATCAAACGCATTTATACGTAGATTTTTTTTTGTTAAATTACTGGTGGTAGGACCTCTTGTGAGTCCGCACGGGTAGGTACCACCGCCCTGCCTATTTCTGCTGTGAAGCAATTAATGCGTTTCGGTTTGAAGGGTGGGGTAGCCGTTGTAACTATACTGAGACCTTAGAACTTATATCTCAAGGTGGGTGACGCATTTACGTCGTAGATGTCCATAGGCTCCAGTAATCACATAACACCAGGTGGGCTGTGAGCTTGTTCACCCAACTCAGCAATAAAAAAAAAAGAAAATTAAAAAATCTCGACAAAAGTAGTGACGCTTTTGAATGTATAAGTATTGCTTGGTTTCCCTGAAAACTGATTTAAACAAGACGACAACGTTATCGCTTTCGTGTTTTCACGTAACATAAAATGGATGATGCCATAGCCAAAGCGGCTTGCCAAATGACAAATCTCATACCCTTATGATTGTTTACATTAAACAGTATTTTTTCGAATCGTCTCGTGTGTTTCAATTTCAAAATTCGTAGCTGTGAAAGTAGCATCGGTTATGTACAAAATAAACATTTAGTTTTAATTTAATTTTATTTGCTTATTGGTACGAGTGTAATCACAGTCAATATATCATAGCAGGTATTGCTTTGATATTATCCTCGTGGAAATCAGGCCAACTAGCATCAAAGCATTATCTATAGGTACGAGTGACATAGAAACAACTGTAAAATAAAATTAATCGTCAGTCTTAAAAACACAAGACCTCATCATAATTATAATTTTACATGTACATTTTTCTAGATTTCACTTATTTTATTGAAATAAGTTAAAAATCTTACCCGAACACTCGCAACTAGTTATCGAGAGACTTATTATGATTTAGCACATGTAGCTATTAATATTTTTAATGGTACGTACTTTTTTTTCTATACACAAAAACCAAATTGACAATTCAGATTTAAACTCAAATTAAATTCGTTACAAATTAGTACGTTTTTACGAATAAAACACGATAACTTTGGTAGAGTTAGGTAATAGGTGAATAAAGACAAGAACAGAAAAAATATTTACTTTTGTTGTCTTGTTCACATTTTTCACATTGTTCATTTTGTGTTATTTTCTTTAATATGAGCTTTGGAAGCTTGCATGTCAGCCAACTCGCCTCAGGATGTAGGTCGCAGCTTGCATATTAGGCTGCAGTACTTAGCGTGACCGAGATTCAGCTGTCGTCAACATTCTCGTTACTTAGACTAATTTGTTTAGTTTAGATATACACCACAATAATCGTCCAATGTTCGACATACCGATATCATTTACACATATATTTAAATATACGTTTAGAAACTATATATTTTATGGAATTATGTTTATCAATACAGGCGTGATTCAAAATTGAGATTGATAAGTACCATTAGGCATATATTTTTAAAGATTGCACATGAATGGAACACAAAATTAGTTTTAATTACAATTTAATAAAAATATATAAGATTTAAATTTACTAAACAAATTGAAGAGAGAAAAAAAATCCATTTTACTACCTAGATGATTATCCGATGATCTATTATAATCTATATCATTCAATAGAAATATTTGATCATCTTGAACGAACTGTACAGCGGATTAGCTGATAGGACCTTAGTGTAATCATAATACCAACCGGTGAAAACATACCATATATTCCTAGTCGACTGGAGCCATCAAGAAAGCCTATGTTGGAATTTTTTAACGGACGGTAAACGACTTTGTACGATGAAAGCAACGTTAAATATAATATTACAAAAAAAAGTCGAAGTAAAAAATAAACTGACTGCTCGAACGAGCAATAATAATATTGCGAGACGATCCTTTGCTAAAAAATATAGCTTTCTCGCTACGGTTTCACAAGGGTGTGTTCAGCAATCAAGTTTTTATTTTGTTGAGATGATTCATAAAGTTCGCTGAAGAATCAAAGAAGATGCGTTCCTCGCCCGCAGCAGCTCATTTTATTTGAGAAAAAAAAGGAACAACGTAACGTATGCAAAATCAGTATGAATAAGTAGTTTGTAAACTTTATATTTTAAATCTTGGTAAATTCTGAAAAGTTTTTCCGGACATAAAAATGTAAATTTTGGTGTATCGATGAGTTCGCGTACTTACTTGTTGTACCCGTATACAAGTATCCACCCAAGATGAGACGTTTGCCATTCACCTTGAAGCCTGAGGTTGAACTCTAAATTTTATTGCAAACATTATTGATATACCCTAAAAAATGCAACTGTATACTATATACCCTTCAAACTGGAACTGTATAATGGTCGATCGAATCGAGATTTCGGTCGCAAATGTCAAGGGGGATGACGGCATTCGCGTCGGGATATCAACGGGCACCAGCTGGGCTATGAGCTAATTCACCCACCTAAGCAAAAATATTTCTCATCACTCGTTTCTCATCAGTACATCGCGCGCTTGACTTACTCATTACTTCATGTAAATTTCAATCCGTATACAATCCGCCAACGTCGGATATGAGACTGTAAGACTGTAATATTTATTTCATTTTGAAACCTGGGCAGCTTTTCTATTATATGGGCTATGGGCATGGGCATTTAAAAACGATACAAAAGTATGCCTACAGAGGGAAAAGTCAGTTCGAATTTGTTTACGGAAAATTGTTGCGAAACGACAGATATGAAATACTGCAATACAAGGGTTAAGCGAACTCAATGTTCTTTTTTAACGTTCACTTTTCAGTGAGGTAATGTTTTTTTGTTCGTTGAGACGTGCCCGCGGCGTACTGGTTCCCTTTTTAAGCCGTAGCGCACGCTTGCTTGTGCGGCGTAAATAAACAGCAAGGAAATCGTTGTTTGAGTTCCGATTTCCTTCGCCGCGGAAGCCGTCCTATGTACTCCGATAATTTTATATCTGTCCCAGGATCAAACTACATGTATACTACAGTAATACGAGCGTTTTACTCTTTAAACTTTCTGATTTTATTGGCCAACAACGCAACTGAATAATGTGAATAATTACATAGTAATCCGTTGTCATGAATGTTTCAATATTGTGATGAGAGTGTTCAACTCCGCAGATTTAAGCCCTGTGGTTAAGGTAGTAAAATATTATATTCGGTAATCGGTATCACTCGTCAGTGATCAGCGATCGGTTGACTACGAGGGCTGCACTAAAAGTATCGGGAATGGAATATTTCCACTGTTCCTGTCATATTAAAATCTTTTTAATTGAAAACTCCTTGGTTTTAATAATCGAATACCATTTATTTATTTAAAAAGGATTCTCGGTCTTGTCAAACTTGTTTAGTCGTTGAGAAAATGGAATTCACTTGAGAAAATTCAAGAGCGATGATTTATTATGACTTTCGAAGTGGTTTAACACAAAAATAGTGTGTTGACCGGATGATTTCTGCATTTGGTGATGAAGCCCCACCCAAAACCACAATTTATCGCTGGTTTGCTGAGTTTCAACGTGGACGTGTCAAGCTCAGTGATGATCCCCGTCAAGTTCGTCCAAAAACTGCAGTCACCCAAGAAAACGTTGATGCTGTGCGTAAGCTGATTGAGAAAGATTGACATGTGACATACCGCGAAATTCAGGCAACTTTAGACATTGGCATGAGTCAAATACAAATAATCTTGCATGAACAATTTTAGGTGTAAAAAAGTTGTTTTCCCGATGGATACCGCATTCGCTCTGTGAAGAGCAAAAAGCGGCTCGCGTTACTTGGTGCGTCAGAACTCTCGAAAGATTCCACGCAGGATCCTCAAATGCTGTATACAACATTGTATCAGGTGACGAATCTTGGATATACGCGTACGAACCCGAAACAAAAAACCAGTCACGAGTTTGGGTGTTCGAAAATGAGTTAAAGCCAACAAAAATTGTTCGTTCACGGAGTGTTGCAAAAAAAATGGTGGCCACGTTTGTCTCCAAAACCGGCCATGTTACGACTATTCCTCTTGAGGGACAAAGAACGGTTAATGCAGAATGGTATGCTAGCATTTGTTTGCCACAGGTCGTTTCTGAACTCCGTAAAGAGAACTGCAACCGCCGCATCATCCTCCATCACGACAATGCGAGTTCTCACACCGCGCACAGAACAAAAGAGTTTTTAGAGCAAGAAAACAGAATTATTAGACCATCCGCCGTACAGCCCCGACCTAAGCCCTAATGATTTCTATACTTTCCCTAAAATAAAGAATAAATTGCGTGGACAGAGATTTTCATCACCTGAAGAAGCTGTGGACGCCTTCAAAACGGCAATTTTGGAGACCCCAACTTCTGAATGGAATGGTTGCTTCAATGATTGGTTCCATCGTATGGAAAAATGTGTCAAATTTCGCGGAGAATACTTCGAAAAGCAATAAATACATTTTTAAATAGTAATGTTGTGTCACTTCGTTAATTCCCGAAATTTTCAGTGCCGCCCTCGTATAATGCAGTTCGCCATTTGTTTTTAATTCACTTTCAACATAAACATGCTTTGTAAATAATGTCGTCAGTGAAATCATTTGTAATGTAATGTAACTATACTTGAGACCTTAGAACTTATTCTCAAGGTGGGTGGCGCATCTACGTTGTAGATGTCTATGGGCTCCAGTAACCACTTAACATGAAGTGGGCTGTAAGCTCGTCTACACATCTAAGCAATAAAAACAATTGGCTAATTTTACGACAAAATTCCTTACGAGCTTTTTAATAAAGCCAACACACACAGTTCGATGGAACGTAATGAAACCAAAGCACACAGTCTTTACGCCAGTATTACTTCCCACTTATTAGCATGCCTTTGTCTCTGTAGTAAAGTGTAGTCTCGGCTCCGTCAAATAAACAAACAACAAACACGCAGCAGACAGACACTGAGTGTAGCTGGAGAGTGCAAACTTGTTTAATAACAGTTAACGAGCAGTCGCACCTTGTTTTAAACGTATGAAAGTGCATCACTGCACACAAGCCGATAAGGGGTGATTCAATAATATAAACAGACACGCAAC